GGCCGAATGCCGGTATAACTATACGGCTGAATGGCGGTAACTATACGGCTGAATGTCTGTAATTATACGGCCGAATGCCGGTAACTATACGGCCGAATGCCGGTAACTATATGGCCGAATGCCGGTAACTATCATGTTAAAAAAACACCTAACTGTATAGAGTTTCAATCGCTGGTATTCTATTACACTTGGTTGTTCATTAATACATTAGTTCATAGGGATAAAACGTAAACGTTATTCCCAGCAAAGAACAGTTTAAAAGAAACACGTTTTCAATATATCAAGCCTACCAAAAAGACATTCATGATCAATTAACAGTTTCATAAAACCTTTAGAGCAAAGCCACAATTCTAGCGTTAGTGTACAATATCGCTGAGAGTTGGTAGAGCGGAGCGAGCTCAGGCTAGGACCTTATGGCAGCTCAGACCTCATACTGACTGGCGGGACACGACTGCCTGACTACTGGACTCACAGCCACTCAGACCTGACCTACGGAGCAGTTACGCCGTGTGGGTCATCCGGACCCATTTAGCCCCGACAAAAGTGCGTGCTACGTGCGCTGTATACGCGTGCTGTCTGTAAGAAAGCGTGTCAAATGACCCATTTATTTATATGAGTGTTATCGCCGTGTGCCGGGCAGGGAGGAGGTCGTGTCGGTCCTCAATGCCGCCATATTGGCCCGGCAGGAGGGGGTCGTGCTCAAGGACCCCGACGGACCCTACACGCCCGCTGCCCGCACCGCCGGCTGGATCAAGCTCAAGCCCGACGTAAGCCCCCTCCTGTCAGCCCGACGTAAGCCCACTCCTGTCAGCCCGACGTAAGCCCACTCCTGTCAGCCCGACGTAAGCCCACTCCTGTCAGCCCGACGTAAGCCCACTCCTGTCAGCCCGACGTAAGCCCACTCCTGTCAGNTGACGGTAACTGTCCTCTCCAGTGCTGTCACTGACGGTAACTGTCCTCTCCAGTGCTGTCACTGACGGTAACTGTCCTCTCCAGTGCTGTCACTGACGGTAACTGTCCTCTCCAGTGCTGTCACTGACGGTAACTGTCCTCTCCAGTGCTGTCACTGACGGTAACTGTCCTCTCCAGTGCTGTCACTGACGGTAACTGTCCTCTCCAGTGCTGTCACTGACGGTAACTGTCCTCTCCAGTGCTGTCACTGATGGTAACTGTCCTCTCCTGTGCTCTTACTGACGGTAACTGCTGGCAGCTGCCTTCTCCGGTGAAATATTCAAAATAATTACGCGAATAATCGGTACTTTTCCCCACTTAATCCCCGATTTCCCCACTTAATCCCCCGATTAATCCCCTCCTCCCCCGCCAGGTGGGCGGGTGACGAAGGTGGTGCCGGTGTGCTGGGTGGGCTCAGGGTTCACAGACGACACGCTGGCCTCGCTGCCCCGCCTCCTCGCCCCCGCCCGCTCGCCCACTCGTCCCCCCGAGGTGGGCGAGTGGCGGGGCGACAAGCCCGCCGTCTGGTTCTCGCCCGCCGCCAGCGTCGTCCTCCAGGTCTTATTTAATTACTCCTCCAGGTTCTACCATGTTATCTTATATAATTCCACCACGTTATCTTATCTTAGGTTATCTTAGGTTCTACCATGTTATCTTATTTAATTAATCTTCCAGGTTCTCTTTAATTACTTTTTTGTTTCATCTTCTTCAATAAAAATATTTATAGTTATATACGCATACTCGTCGTTTCTATTCTATTTAATTATTTAATTCACTTTTATTTGGTCAAGATAGATATTTTATACGCGAATTTCACGTGAAATTAAAATTCTATTTGATTATTTCTTTCACTTTCATTTGGTTAATATATATTATATATTTTTAATGACGTGAAATTCACGTACAATTAAATTTTTTATTCACAATTTCATGATATAATGGACGTGTCGCCCACTGCAGGTGCGGGCGACGGAGGTGAGCCCACTCGCCGCCCACTCCGTCGCCCACTCGCTGCGCTTCCC